TCGTCTGAGAAACAATGTCTGGCTAGCCTTGTTCTCATATGTATATATATATAGAATTATAGAGAATCTTATTCCTTCGTTCTCATTATAGTCCTGTGGCCTCAAAATTAGACCATTCGTCTTCGAAACAATGTCTAGTCCTTTGGTCTAAACCTCCCTCAGAATAAAATAACCAAAAGAGTTGGGCCATTCGTCTTAGAGACAATGCCCAACCCTCTTTTCTCAGCACTGAAAAAAAAACAGAGTACCCTAAGCCAAGACCCAGAGACTGTTCAAAAACCACCCAAAGTAAACAGCGACCAGACGATTCATCTTAGAAACAATGTCTGCCCCTCAAAGTCCAAGCAATCAATACCCCACAAAATAAATATCCAGGCCATTCGTCTTAGAAACAATGCCTGGCACAATTAAATAAACACAGCGACCAAGCCATTCGTCTTGGAAACAATGTTTGACCCTTCAGAAAACAGAATAAAACACAGCAGTCAGGCCATTCATCTTAGAAACAATGCCTAACCCCATAAGACCCGTTCAAGCATAAGCAAACCTGCCTTCCTCCCAGCTTTCCCCCTGATGCAACCCTTCGTTACAATCTGCTTTCAGACAAACAAGCAAAAACTGAAACTGCCATTGTACATACATTCCTTTACTTAATCTGATTTATGTCCTGAAAGTCAAACTAAAAGTCAAAGTAGGGCTGCATACAATACCCTCAGCCAATTCATAGGAAGATGTACAGATAGGGGTTATAACTGGGTTTATAAGGGAAGACAATGATTACCTCTGAGTTCCCTGCCTCGAGAACTCCTCCTGAGTCCTGGCAGAGCTCCCGCAATCGGTGGGCTGACACCCCACAGAGTCTTGTTGCGGTTCTACGGGTTGCAATCTCGCCTGCCGCCTTCCTCTCGGAATCAATAGACTAGACAGATGAAGGTAGGTTGGAGACTCTCAGATCCAAGAGGGGTGCACTCAGACTCACGTGAGAGCGCCTTGGTTCCTTGATGCGCCTGAGGGCCCCGCAATGGCGGCCAATGTAACAACTTGATCAGTCCAAAGTCAAACTGTCGAAATACTGCCCCTCTGACGCCCTCCTTGACCGCAGCATTAACCCCCTTCGCGGACCAATCCCCCCTCTTTCACTCCCGTAATCCTACTGCAATTACCTGGCGTTGAACGACCGTACTCAAAGTAGCACAACAACCTGTAGTAGCCTCAGCGCCCGCCGCTATAGCATAACATCGGAAACTGTTGTGGAGCCCATAGCAAAAGGGCAGCAAAGAAGGCTGTTGTTTCGCAGCCTGCTCCTCTCTCTTCGTTGGTCAGCACAACAGAACAAGTGGCCCTTAGTTTGACTTCAAACACCGCCTTTGCCTTCAGTCTTCCCTCGACTCGCGCACTGGAGCACTTTAAACCCCATACAACTCTACAGTCTACAGTGTTGCCATAGCAGCAATAGTCTCCCTGCCTGTGCAACAACTTTAGCCCTTCACTGTACCGCTTGGATGTGCAGCTAACGTGGCTGCTCTCTGCAGTCATGGTTCGCACAACCCATTCATACAGTCTTATCAGCCACACCTTAGGCAGGCAAAGGCCCAGAAGCCGCACCCCGCAAGTCGGACAGGTATACAGAGCCACAGTTACGCCACGATCACACGGGTCTGAAGAGCGTCACGACAGTGTCTAAAGCCAATAACAGTGGCCACACCCAGTCTGATCATAGTAGCAGCCTGAATACCCAGCAACAACAACTCCAGGTTCACAATAATTGTTGTTGCCGCAAATAAAGTCCGACC